CCATGAACCTCCGATGTAGTGTTGAAGCTTTCTGGCAGTCTCAGGGCGCGGACTGCGAATTCTCATCCTCGCCGGCCTAGAAAACTGCTTTCGGGGGGACCGGGGGGGGGGGGGGGTGGGGCTCAGATTGGGTCTACGGTTTAGGGTTTAGGGTTTAAGGTTTAGGGTTTAGGGTTTAGGGTTTGGGGTTTGGGGTTTGGGGTTTGGGGTTTGGGGTTTGGGGTGTAGGCTCTGCCTACCCAACCTCCGCAAACAAGACTTTCGAGTTTGAAACCCTGAAACCCTTACCCCAAACAGAGCCCAAACTCCTGAACTCCCAAACCTTAAAGCCTAAACCCGAAACCCTACATCCAGCTCCTTGAGGACGTTCTGGCTCAGGTCGGGACAACGTAAGGTCTCAGGGTTCAGGGCTTCGGGTTGGATCCACTTGATTTGTCGGTTTTGGGATTAAGGTTTCGGGTTTAGGGTTTCGGCTTTGGGGCTTCGGGTTTGGGGTTTAGCCCCAACTAAACCCTGCTCAGAAGCCCAAACATGTTACCCGAAGTGGCCAACCGATGGGTCGCCCACCTCGCCGTGCACCCAACCTTCCTGCCGGCTTAGCGAGAGCATTGGGGGTTTCGGGGTTTAGGGGTCAGGGCTTAGGGGTGGCAGGGGTTTGGGCTGTAGGGTTTAGGGTTTAGGGTTTAGGGTTGGGGGTTGGGGACTGGGGATTGGGGGTTGGGGGTTCGGGGTTGGGGTTGGGGGTTGGGGGTTGGGGTTCAAGGGCTTACTGATTGGGGGCTGAGGGTTTTGGGGTTTCCTAAGGCCGGAACTCTAAACGCATCTGTCTTGTGTCAGGCATGGTCTTCGCACCCAAAACTTTACTTCCAAATCAGAAGTTCCAAGCCCACTTAGGGTTTAGGGTTTAGGTCTTAGGAGTTTAGGGAGACCCCCTGCTTACCCACTTAGGGTTTAGGAGTTTAGGTCTTAGGAGTTTAGGGAGACCCCCTACTTAACTAATTTTGTGGGCCACTCCATCCAGCAAACCAGCAACAGGCGTTGACTAAGACTTTCAGGATTGTGCAATCCTCACAAAATCCAGAGGGAGGCAAGAAAGGATTGGGCTTTGGGGGTTCAGAGATTTTGGCTAAACCCTAAACCCTAAACCCTAAACCTAAACCCTAAACCCGGGATTAGGGTTCAGGCGGGCTTGAACTCCACCCCAAGAGACCGGCCTGGGAGCCGGTCACAAAAGGCACACGCAACATCTGCTGAGCTGGCTGGCCTCAAGGTCGATTTTGAGTGTAGGGTATGGGGTTTAGGGCTAGGGTCTAGGGTCCTAGGGTCTAGGGTCCTAGGGTCTAGGGTCTAGGGTCTAGGGTCTAGGGTCTAGGGTCTAGGGTCTAGGGTCTAGGGTCTAGGGTCTAGGGTCTAGGGTCTAGGGTCTAGGGTCTAGGGTCTAGGGTCTAGGGTTTAGGGTTTAGGGTTTAGGGTTTAGGGTTTAGGGTTTAGGGTTTAGGGCTAGGTCTTAGGGTTTTAGGCTTTCAGGTGTAGGGCTTAGGGAACTTAAACAAAAGCACCTGTCACCGGTTTGCCCTTAAAGAACTTGACTTCACAAAATCAAGCACTGTAATGCGGATCTAGAATGAATAACATAGGTTTCCTGCTCTACAGTAGGGGATCTTTTGAGGAGTCCTTCTTTTAAAAATACCATACTATGAATAGGGGGCCCAAGCAGGGAGCCTAATGTAAAGAACTTCCTGTATTATGCTTCCTTCTCATTGTCGCTTACATGGAGTTCCTTCACAAGCTGAGTCTCATAGTGAGGCAACCCAAGCTCAAACCCTAAATCCCGAAAATAAGCCCATCTTCTGGTAACTTAGGTTAAGTGGCTTTCGGGCTTAGGGCTTAGGGTCTTAGCAAGTTAGAGTGTCGAGCCTGGAGTTCGGGGTCTAGGTGTCAGTTTCGGAGCAACTTGAATGCGTTTCGGGCGCAGGGATCAGGGCAATAAATCCTAGACACCCAAACGGCCTTGAAGCCCTGAACGCCTAAACTCCCAAGAAGGCCGTACGCCCCTGAACCCCAGAAACGCCCCTTCTCTCTGAACTCTTTCCAGCCGAAAGCCCCCGAAACCCTTCACCATTCACCCTGCAGAGGCCCGGCCAAACCCTAAACACCCAACCTTTAGCCCCCCAAGCCCTAAACCCTGCAGCCCTAAAACCTAGACCCCTAAACCCCATACTAGCACTCCTTAATCGGGATTATCGTACCCCTATTAACAACTGTTCGTATAAGGGGGAGCATCCCAACCCTAAAGCCTAAACCCCAAACCCTAAACCCTAAACCTTAAACCCCTAAACCCTAAACCCAAAGCTCTGAGGGCTCTGGAGGGTCCGGAAGAGTCCCAGCAGCTCTCGTAGTCGGAGCCATAGGTTCTCGCGGCCTCCATGTGACTCCACCTGGGTTCCGTGGCTGGGGTCTTCACGGTGTTTGGGGAGCTTAGGGGAGTTTAAGGGAGTTTAGGCAAATTTTGGGAGATTTTGGGGGGGTTTAGGGGATTTTGAGGAGTTCGGGAACGTTATAGGGAGTCTAGTGAGCTTGGGTAGCTTGGGGGGTGCGTGTCGGGAGTGTGGGGTTCTGGGGCCCTAAACCCAAGCCCCTAAACCCTAAACCCTAAACCCTAAAAGGCAGAAAAGGAAACCGCACGAAAGCCGTCTGAGCTGGAGGGCGAAGGGATGGGCAGCCTGACCAACTGCGTCAAGATGCGCACCTTGGGATGTTCCCTCGTGTACTAAGAGTCCTTAGTAGGGTTTATGGTTAAGGGTTTAGGGTTTAGGGTTTAGGGTTTAGGGTTTAGGGTTTAGGCTTCAGGGTGTAGGGTTCAGGGCTTAGGGTTTAGGGTTTAGGGTTTAGTAAGGGTTTACGGCTTAGGGGGGATTCTAGTACCCCGCTATTCTAATCCCTAAAAAGGGACTGTTATACTAGCATCCCCACCCTAAAGCCCTGGCCGGCTACGCTTGTCGGGCTGCTTTGGGCTCAGGGTTTTGGAGGTTTGGGGTTTGGGGGTTTAGGGTTTTGGGGTTTTATGGAAGTGGCGGGTGTAGAGGTCAACTGCCCGCCTACGGCACAGAACCGAGCCCAGAGGAGGGTGTTTTTGGTTTTGGGCTTAGGGTTTCGTATTGGGCCCTTCTCTGGGAAGAGGAAGCTGCTACGTGCCGAGTTGAGGGTTCAGGGTTAGGGGTGGAGAGCTTGGGTTTCAAGGTGAGGGCTTAGGCGGGTTTTCGGCTGGGGGTCTCTGCGACTCAGTAGGCGCAGCCCCACCCCAGCCGAACTCCAACCCCTTGAACCTAAACCCCCAAAAAACCTAAAGCAACAGAAATGCCTTCCTTTGCCCTCCTTTGAAACCCCAAAGCCTAAAGCCTAAACTGCCTAAACCCTAAACCCTAAACCCTAAACCCTAAACCCTTTGAAAGCAGGGTTCGCCTTGTACGCCTGCGCGGCCACGAAAGCGTGGAGGCCGAACCAAAGCGCGAGGAATAAGTACCTGAGCTCAGCTCAGGGTTAGAAAAGCAATGAGGTCTTAAGGTTTGGGGGGGGTATTTCATTACAGTATTACATTTATAGCATGATACGATTATATTCTGACATTCCCACAGTATGATATTGCTTTATTACTGCATTACTATATAATTTTGTTGAATCTCTTTTCTTCCATTATATGAGAGGGTTGTTACATTGCTATATCTTATTCAATTAGTATACCATCATACTACTGTATGGGCCATATTGAAGACCCTAAACCCCAAACCCTAGACCCTAAACCCTGTGAAGTCCTTGAAGTGATATGTCTAGATGAATCCGAGGCCGCGTCGAGATGCAGCTGCACACGGCGAGAACCTGGTGCAGCCCACGCTCACCAGATTCAGCGAGTGGGGGTTGCCTTTGTTGGGTTTAGGGTGTAGGGTTTAGGGTTTAGGGTTAGGGTTTAGGGTTTAGGGTTTAGGGTTTAGGGTTTAGGGTTTAGGGTTTAGGGTTTAGGGTTTAGGGTTTAGGGGTTAGGGTTTAGGGTTTGGGGTTTGGGGTTTAGGGTTTAGGCTCGGGGAGCTGTAGCTTCAGTGCCGAGAGCCTGCCCCGCCGAGGGTTGTACCCCGAAAGGCTTCCCTTCATGTACTCCTAGTCGGGCCCATATTTTACCTGAAGGATCTCTCAAAAAGGTTTCCCCCAAAACCCAAAATCACAACCTTAAGGGTCCAATGTACAACGCCAAACCCTCAGCCTAAACCCTAAACCCTAAACCCTAAACCCTAAACCCTAAACCTCCTTGCAGGAGCTGAGGACAGGACGCCCGCAGCTACCATCCATGGAGGAGCCCCAGGAGGGATCCTCCCCTCTGCAGACATTTCTTTTTAGGGTTTAGGGTTTAGGGTTTAGGGTTTAGGGTTTACGGTTTAGGGTTTAGGGTTTAGGCTTTTGGCTTTAGGGTTTAGGGTTTAGGGTTTAGGGACTCGGGGCTTGCCTAGGAAGTAGAACTGCCATGCAGCTATACCAGTTCTCCGACGGCACAGACTCAACCACAGAATGCGGACAACGAGCGGCGACAGCCAGTGAGTTCCAACGATCAATCAACCACCTTAAGCATCGGTGAATTATATGTTTTCTTATTCTGCTTTCTTATTACAGTATCATATTCGCAGATTCTGATATCAAGAGACCACAAATCTTATTCTGGTCTTTGTTCTTTGCTGAATACCTTTCACTTTGTACTGCCTGTACCTTGCGACCTTGAGATTTCGTCCATCACATGTGTCGTCTGTGTTCGTTTCCCTTGACTTCAACATCTACAACGGGTTTGATATTGGGCTCATAAACAAATCATAGTAACGATCAACAACGTGCGTTCTCCCGTTTGGGCCTACATTCTGCTGATCTTTTCTAGCCGCATTCTTTGGTACCATGGGAGTCTAGATTGGTGCTCCTACGTTATCGTTCATTTGCCTTAACATTCAATGTTGGACTGGCTTTCACTTCAGGTAGACCTGCGCTAAGAGCTCTATGGGAGGTTGTTCACGGAATGTTGCAGGAAATGCAAGCCGAGAGAAGACCTACTCAGCCCTCACCACCCCTGGCCCGAAACTCGCAGGAACCCCCGCCTCTACATCCGGCCCCTTTCAAGAGCTGACTCAACGCCAAACCTTAGGGTTTAGGGTTCAGGGTTTAGGGCTTAGGGTTTATGGTTTAGTAGGGTTTAGGGTTTAGGGTTCAGTAGGGTTTAGGGTTTAGGGTTTAGGGTTTAGGGTTTAGGGTTTAGGGTTTAGGGTTTAGGGTTTAGGGCTTGCGGGTCCTTAGAAGCAGGGCAAAAAAGTACCCCAAGTCAGGCCCTCATCCCTCGCCGGGCCTTGCACAGGCAGCATCCTGCGCCGGTCAGCTCCATGGCGATGACCAGCAGGTAGACCTGCGTATGGGTTTAGGGTTTAGGGTTTAGGGTTTAGGGTTTAGGGTTTAGGGCTTAGGGTTCAGGGCTTAGGGCTTAGGGCTTAGGGCTTAGGGTTCTATACAAACAACATTGTTTGGGTGCCACATAAACCACATCAGCTTTTGGATTCTATATACACAACACTTTTGGATTTGATGTATTCAACAAAACGTGTAGAATGTGGGAGCAGGGAATTTTGTTTTGCATGAAGGGCAATGCTGTTGAGGAATTGAACATGCAGTTGCCACAGCCCTTTTATGCAACGTTAAATGGAGCACACTGCAACTACAGAAGAGTTTGCCTGGAATTTATAGCTCAGGACTTCGGATCTACTTGGCACGTAGGGCTAGAAGTAGAGTAGCCATGGCTATAACCTTCCTTGGGGCCGACAGCCTAAGCCCGGTTAAATCGTGCTCAAAGTCCAAACCCAAGAGCGATAGCCGCTGCAACTCGTGTTTAGCGTGTCGGGTTTTTAAGGTCTCGGGTTTGGGGTTTAGGGTTTCGTGTTTGGGGTTTAGGGCTTCAAGGTTTGCGGTTTAGGGTTTAGTGTTTAGTGCCTGAGCACGACCACCGTAAACCCTAAAAACAATTGGTTGAGGGTTTAGGGTTAAGGGTTTAGGGTTTGGGGTTTTGGGTTTTGGGTTTAGGGTTTAGTGTTTAGGGTTTAGTTTTTAGGGTTTAGGAGCCAACGGTAACCCATGAACCGCAGCTCCACGGCATGCCTCCATCTTCTTGGGCGTCAGCCTGGGACAGGCCGTGAACTGATCAAACATTGCCCCCCTCATACATACATACATACAGACAGACAGACAGACAGACATACGTACATACATCTATATCTATACCGATATCTATATTTATCTTTCTATATATATTATATATACATATATATATGTGTGTAAACATACACGTATACAATATATACGTATGTCTATATGTTTTGTTTATATACACCTTGTTTGTGGTAGTATGCACGTTATATGTTTCTACACACACATGTATGTACAGAGATGTAGACGTGTAATGAGGTGCTTCATGAAAGGGCTTCTTTGGGTTCAAGGGGCCTCCTTCCCTTTTAAGGGGCCTCCTCTGCGACCTTCCTTTCGGGGCTTTAAGGGCTTCCTCTCTAACTTTTAGGGCGCGGGGGGGGGGGTGGGGAAGGGGTCATTTTGGGGGTTTAGGATTTAGGGTTTAGGGTTTAAGGTGTAGGCTCTAGGGTTTAGGGATAGGGTTTAGGGATAGGGTTTAGGCTTGAGGTTCACGGGCTTCCTTTCTAATGGCTCCTTCAAAAGAGGGGGGGGCTCATTTTGGGGGGGCCTCCGTTTCTTCAGGGGGTTTGGGAAGGGGGGACGGGGGGTGTATGGACCGACACGAAAAGCCTCAACACTCAAAGCCTCTGCACGTGCCAGGTAGGGCCGATGACAAGCATTGAAATTGGTAACCGTCGACAGGACTTCTGCAGGTTGAAGTCTTCATGAACAACCCCACATGTACTATCTTCATTTGGTGCGCGAAACTAACCGTGCGAATTAGATGTTGAGCTTCTATGCTGGATTCCTGTTCAGGAACATTAATGAGGGCCATACTTATGGGCTTCCTGACTACGGCAAGTTGCTTTCTAGATCTTAGTAGTGAAGTTGGGAATCGGTCACCGTATGTATCCCGTGACAGTCTTACGAAAGGATTTCAGGCACGTACTTCTAAACTCCATACTGGAACTAGAAAGCTCGTCTTTTGTTCCTTAACTCATGCACCCGCAGCGATACTGCAAAACAAAGGTCCCCTGTCAGATTCCAAGCAGACTCATTCCAAACAGAACCCCAGCAAGAGACACCCTAAACCCTAAACCCTAAACCCCTAAACCCTAAACCCTAAACCCTAAATCCGAAACAACCCCCCATGTCAGCGAGGTTGACGGGCTCAGGCCAGCACTGGATGGCATCACGCACATCTCGTCGCCAGAGGTCCGCCTGCTTGATGCGCATCTCCTGACGCGTTTCAGGGATTCGAAGCTTAGGGCTTTACAGGGGGGTTTAGGGTTTAGGGTTTAGGGTTTAGGGTTTAAGGTTTCGGGTTTAAAACCGTAAACGCTGAACCTGTCAGAAGCCAGTGGGTTTTTGGGGGGCTCTGGCCTGGGGGGTCTTCCAGCACCAGACAGCCGATCTTCACGTTCAAGCATGGGCCCTCAATCTCACTGCTGGTTAGTAGGGAATGGGGGAATGAGGTACCCTATATAATCCCTTCAAGGGGCAATGAGGTACCCTATAAAATCCCTTAAAGGGTATATATAAGGCCCCCTGGGTCCCTTGCCACATAGCACCTTGGAAAAAAGAGATACCACAAGATGAGTAGGCGGCCACCGCATGATTGTAGCTTTGCTTAAGTTCATGGGTATTTGAAAGTAGGGTTACAAGCACTCTCTTTTAGTAGGCCTCGAACCATGGTTACCCTAACCATGACCCTACCGAAAAGTACCCCGAAACCCTAAACCCTCAACCCTCAACCCTCAACCCTCAACCCTAAACCCTAAACCCTAAACCCTACATTATAAGAACCCCAGAACCTCCAAGCTGGACCCTGAGGTTGAGGCCTGCCGCTTCAGGGCCTAAGAATTAAGGCCTGCGAGCGGAGGCTTTTTCGGTATTAGGAGGGCTTGGGCTTGGGTTTTCAGGGCTAGGGGTGTGGGGTCTTTAGGGGCTGTAGGGGCTTTAGGGGCTTTAGGGGTTGTAGGGGTAGGGATCGGCAAAGCTCTCAAGGGTCTGTCCGACAGCTGATACTCGAAGATGGTCCGCTGACGTCGGTCATACTGGAAATTCCTCAGGCGCAGAGGCCATGCTGTGGGGGTTTCATTGGGAGGTGCTTACAAGTGGGTATAGGGTTGAAGGATAGGAAAACTATGGTAACAACCCTCGCTTGGGGGTGGGTCAGTCGAAAGCGCTTTTGCGGTATGACCAGGTCCATAAACCCTAAACCCTAAACCCTAAACCCTAAACCCTAAACCCTAAACCCTAAACCCTAAACCCTAAACCCTAAACCCTTAACCCTAGTCTCAAACGAACTTCTCCTGCGAGCCTTTGACTGAAGTGCGAGTGGGTTCGGCTCCGGCTCAGCAGTTCAAGCTTGGAGACTAGGGTTGAGGGTCGAGGGTTTAGGGTTTAGGGTTTAGGGTTTAGGGTTTAGGGTTTAGGGTTTAGGGTTTAGGGTTTAGGGTTTAGGGCTTAAAGTCTAGGGTTGAGGGTCTTTGTTCTAGGGTACAGGGCTCCATGGGGTTTGAGTGCGTGACCTGGTAGGGAATTGGGGAATTGGGCACCCTAAGCACTTCAAGAGCCACGTTCCTCAAGCCCCGAACCCTAAACCCTAACCCTAAACCCTAAACCCTAGACGAATAAGCTGATGTCAAGAAACTGTCCTTGGACACACCTTGTGGTGGACACGGCAGAGCAGGTTTAGGGCTTTGGAAGGGTCCAATAAACCCAAAACCCGAACCCTACACCCTAAACCCTAAACCCGAAGCCCCAAACCCTAAACCCTTAACCCTGAACCCATTCTTGGGTGCACGCTTGCGGTTGTATCCGAAGACCTCATAGGCAGCACCTGGGCTCGCGGAGACCGGAGGCAGCCGCAGAAAGAACCCCTTTAGGTCTCGGGTTCAGGGTTTAGGGCTTAGGCTTAGGGTTTAGGGTTTAGGGTTTAGGGCTTAGGTTTAGGGTTTAAGGTTTAGCGTTTGAGGTTTAGGGCATGAGATTTAAGGGTTTTGGGATCAGCTGAACTATCGGGCTTTAGGGTTTGGGGTTTAAGGGCCTATGGAAGTAGAACAAGGTCTCTTGGGCAGTTGCTCTTTGCCCTTTTGAAACCCAAGACCGCCCCCACCTGTGATGCCAGAGATCAGTCCAGCAAGCAGCTCCATGACGGAGTTGAGCTGCCAGATCTGGCAAGATACGAGAAACCCTTCTCGAACAGACAGGTGACGCTGCGTTGTGCAAGTTCTGCGCATGCTTATGGTGGTGATTAAGACTCACAAGGTTCTTGTTCAAGCTGCGCTTCTGTGTCGCAAGCAAAGCAACTCCCGACACCCGTGACAACAGCGCAACATGCTGCACCATTCACGCACACAGTGCCCTGCGGCCAGGCAAACGGATGAAATCAAAAAACATGCCAGGAAGACGAAACTACAGTTAGGTTCGCTTCCTCAGCAGACAGCAACAAGCGCATGACATTGCAAGCGAGCACCTCTCATCCAACCGTGCTGGCAAAACGAATGCCCCTTGTGCTAAACCCTGAACTCAAGAATAGACCCCTCAAAGCACAAAAAACGTTAACAATCCCTTGGGTTCAAGTACAATCTAAAGAGACCATGGGACCCATGGGAATCCCAAACCCCGCACACCGTACCTTCAACTCACGAAACGCCCCAAGTCCGCAAGCCCCAAGGCCCAAACCCCCCCACCCACCCCCCCCCCCACCCCCCACCCCCCTCCACCCCCCCCGCCCCCCTCCCCGGCCCTGAACATCACCCCCCACACCTTTGCCCAGCCACCTCTGGACCCGCAAAACCTAAATCCCTAAACCCTAAACCCTAAACCTTTAATCCCTCATGAAAACCCCCTTTTGGCTCCTAGACCCGAAACCCAACATCAATGCTGCTGACATCATAAGCGCCAGGCAGGCGCAGAGTTACCGCCTCCGGGTGCTGGTTTAAGGTTTAAAGGGTTCAGGGTTCAGGGTTTAGGGTTTAGGGTTTAGGTTTTAGGGTTTAGAGCTTAGGGAGTTAGGGGGTTAGGGGGTTCGGGGTTTAGGGGCTGAGAGGCTTGGGGGCTTAGGGTTTCAGGTTAAGGGTTCAGGGGTTTGGGGCTTAGGCTTTAAGCTTTAGGGTTTTGAAAGGCTTTAAAGCTCACGGTGGTTCACACACTGTTGGGAGGGTTTCCGGGAGGCTGCTCTGTAGCTTTGGTATGGGCATAGATTGGCTCAACCGAAAGCAGCTGCTTCAAGTCCACCGCCAGGTGCCCATAGTAGGGAGTGAGGGAACCCGATACCCGAATGAATCCCTTCCATGGTACATATAGAGGAATATGAGGTACCCACTTCCCTCATTCCCTACTAAGAGCCCCCTAAACCCTAAACCCTAAACCCCAAAACGGTTTCGCCATACAGCACATGGCGACTCACCCGGCCTCATCGTATCAGTTGGCTGCCCTCAAAGCACCCAAACAAAGCCAGCTGCTCTGGAGCCCAGGTGTTTGCGGGTTTAGGGTTTAGGGTTTAGGGTTTAGGGTTTAGGGTTTAGGGTTGAGGGTTGAGGGTTGAGGGTTGAGGGTTGAGGGTTGAGGGTTTTGATGGTTTATGCACAAACACCTGCTGCTTCATGCAAAGAACTTCATCTTCTGAATAGAGGTTTCCAAACGGCTGTTTGGGTTTTTTTGAAAATTTTCGTGTTCAAAGATATACTAATATGTATATATATATATACATACATATACTAATATGTATATATATATATATATGCTACCATATATATATATATATATTTATTTATATACTGAACCATTCGAGAAGTCGATTTTCATATTTAAAAATATATTATCGAATGCAAATTTTTGTAGATATCGATCTTAATTTCCAAATCAATTGGTTTATCGAAGCTCATATTATTCATATATCTAGAAATACTCCATTAGAATCCAGAACCCAACCTTATTATTATTTGAGATCTCTTTCTGAAAATATATAATCCTAAAAAAAACTCAATCCATTCAATTCTCTCTATATATATATATATATATGTATCAAACAAAAAAGGTGATCTCAATAACAAATGAGAAAAGCCCTCTCTCCCTCAGATATATATATATATATATATATACATATATAGATTTAGATAGATATACATTTATACATTTATGATTCTGCTTAAGCAAATGGTACAACCGGGTTCTCTATGATCCTTCGATAGGAGAAGTCATGAAAATGTGATAGTTGCTTGATTTGTGTCAGCAAGCTTCTTCAAAGATGAGTTTCGGTTAGACATTCCATAGAAAGCTTGGCCAGTGCCTTGCAGCTGCTTAGCAGCATGCCGGATGAGTTGCTCATGCTCGGGCGCGTAAAGCGGCAACCGGATAGCAACGCAGGCGTGGGTGATACGAAAAAAGTACCATTGGTGTTCAGATGCGCTTTGCACATATTAAATACTGAATTGGTCATGCCCAATCCTTACTTCTGATCAGTGGCGTGGTTTGCCAGTGTATCGAAAGCTCCGAGTGGCCTTGAAAGGCTTATTCCATCGGCGATGGGTCTTGTAGCGACTGACACGCATGCCGTGAAGAAGTAAGCAAAAACAGCCTTCTGAAAGGTCGGGTTCAAAGGCATGTAGAGGAGCCTGGTTTGATAGTCTCCTCCACTGGACATCCTTGTGATCATCTGATCGAGCAAGTTGCGCTGATGTGCAAGGTCTGGTCTCTCACCGTAGACGTAGGTTGACTCCTGCAAGCGCTGTAAGGTGCTGATGTGCCGGAGCTGAGCATAGTGTACCTGCGTAGCTTGGTTTTCACAAAGCAGGGTGCAGCCGCACATGATTGCGAGGACATAGAGGGCCATCATGTTTGGAGCATTGTTGAGGATAGCAACCTGAACCGCAGAGTCTGTCATCAACCAAGCCGAAAACGCCAGGTACGCAAGCACAACGTTTTCGTATCTGGCCAGGATGTTCTTTACATCGCTGTGAAGAATCGAGTCCCTGGCCAGCTTCCACACGTGCAAGTGGCAAGTGGGAACGTGGTCTGCGCTGGCCCACCATGCGAGGATTGCGTCCAGGATGTGCATGCAGCTTGCTGTGGGCCCTGAATCGTCCTGGAAACAGTGATTCCCAGCAAGCTTCCCAGCATCCCGAGGATTAAGGCCTTGGATGAGCTGCCACCACCACCCCAACCTCGTTGCGGGTTACGCTCAACCTGAGAGGCAGGTGAGACGCGGCCGCAACACATCGAACCCTGCCGAGCATTGTGTTCAAAAAATGGTGTTCATACAACAGGCATGATATTGCCTGTTGCACACAAACACCCTTTTTTTGAACAGAATACAAGCTAGAACCCAGTCTTCAGAACAAAAACAAGCCGCATCACTCGGTGTGACACCCAAAGGGTGGTCCGTGACATCAGCAAGTAGTCCTTGGCATCGCACCATGGGCTGGGACCTGCCGTGGAGTTGGTGACAGCGCACCGCTCCTGCACGAAGCCTTGTCTGTCCACCACATAATGGAACCTTGCTTCTCCAAAGCCAAGAGCAAACAAAAGGGTTAAACCTTATGCTTTCTACCAAATAAAGGAAACTCGAAAAGTTTAAAGCTCAACTATTGGCCGAGTAAGGAACCAGGCATAAAGTCGCCTTGGGGCGTAAGGAATGAGAAGAGGTAGAACCCCAGCAGCCCTAGGAGAAGCCCACGATGGCGGAGCCAATCCTACGCAAAGGCCGTTCTTTCTCATCATGTTGCTTGTAGTCGACCGGACGATTGCGCCGGGTTTGTTGTTGATGGCCTTGAGATATCGCAGAACTCGGAGTCTGTCTTGATCGTGACTGGAACGGACTTACCGCTCCACTCCTTGACTGAACTTTCAACCCTGGTAAAACCTTTTGACTGCGTCCTCTCCTGTCTGATTTGAGCCGTGCGGTCGCAACCTGACCCTCTCGCTGTCTTGGAGCCCTGCCATAGCGGAGCGTCCTGAAAAGACGTTCCAGGAAAAGCCATGGCCCAAGTTCCGGACGCGTCGACAGTGCCAGAACCTGATGTGAGCCCTGAGGAAGAGGCTTTGCTGTTTGGGTCTCAAGGACAGCCGACAGCACCTGGGCATTTCCATGAAGATGGCTTGGAAGTTGCCTTCACCAAGGCCATTTCCAGCTTGTACTCCACCCACTTGGCTTCCAGCAGGCGAAGCATGAGCTTGAGCTGGAGTTGCCGGAGGCGACGCAAAGGGTTCGCTCCTCTAAGGCAACAAAGTCAGGCCAACCAGCGAACCAGCAGTTGATAGCTGCCCTCATGAGAAGGATGGACTTGGAAGAGAAGCGTCGAAATGAGGCTGAAGAGAAGGCAGCGGAGACCGCACGTTTGGTGGCAGAGGCTGCAGCTCGAGCCAAGATGGAAGACTCTTTTGCAGCTGCACCGAGCACACCTTCTGTGCCTGTTGCAGGAGCTACCTCGTCTTCGAGTTCTGGTGCAGAATAGAGCAGAGAAGTACCTTCCATTTCTGCCGATGCGAGAGCACCAAGGCATGAATAAGGGCAGGATGAGAGAAGTCGAGACATGGCATGCCTACTTGAGACATTGTCATCGTGGCTTGCTCTTCAAGATGAGTCTTTCGTTCGAGAGTTGCAACTCTGCGTCAAGCAAAAGAACGAGATCCTTCAAGAAGGATTTGGCGGATGATGTTGCTGCTCGAAGCGCGAAGCTTTACCACTATCTCACCCAATCTCTCTCACGTTGGGAAAGAGGTCAGGAGTTGCTACGCTCGTGCTCGAAAAGGCAGTCTCTCAGTGCCTGCGGATACGAGGCGGTTAGGACCATCACACAGCAATACAGCATCGTGTCTCGCATGGAAGCTGTATATGTGCGCGAGCAGTGCCTCAAGTTGGCGACTACGTGCCAGCATCACCGACGGCCGACGGACCTCATCCGTCACTTGGAGGACGAGTTTTCTCGTGCTGAGTCCAAGCTTGGGAACTTTCCAGAGTTGCGCCTCACGGAGGCTGACCGCTGCAGTGTTTTGCTGCAAGCTCTGAGCCAGGAGCTCAGACAGTATGTGGTTCTTCATGGAAAGAGCAACGACTGGACATCGCTGAGCGAAAGCTTCGGTACTATGAGGAGCAGCTTCGTCTGTGTGAGGGTCCCTTTTCCTCAAATCGGCAGATGTCAGGAAAAGGTGACAAGCTTTGTGACCACTGCGGACGAAAGGGACACCTGGCTAAGGACTGTTGGAGCCGTCAGCGTGAAGCTGGTGAAAAGGGCAAGAAGGGCGACAAGGGCAAGAAGGGCGATGGCAAGGGAGCGCAGAATCCCAAGGGAAAGCCACGCTCTCCAACGCCGAAAGGCGGAAAAGGCGGCAAAGACAAGGAGCAGAAGCCCGACAAGCCTGATAAAGGCAAAGGAAAAGGCAAGAAGAAGAAGAAGGCTAGAGCCCGGGCTATGGGAGAACCAGAGTCCGAGGCAGAGTCCGAGTCTTCGAGGACCTCCACCGTGATGGCGATGAGGTTTGCCAAGCCTTCTGCTGTACGAGAAGTACTGAGCCAGCCTGAGCCTGAGAAGCCTAAGCCCGTAGCAGTAGTCCCTAGACCGGTCGCTGTAGAGCCGAAAGTCACTGTAGATGAGAAGGTAGGCACCCTGACTGGAAGCACCTCGAAGGGAGATGCGGCATACGTCTGCGCTTCGCTGCAGGTAGAGCATCGTGATGTATGGCTGGTCGATAGTGGAGCCACATGCCACATCGTCTCAGCAGATCATCTGTCAGGATTTCGTGTCTGCAAGTACCATGATCGCACGGTGACGCTCTATAGTGCCTCAGGAGACATCATAAACGTATCGAATGTCGTTGATCTTGAAGTTCGTTTCGGCGACGTTTCGTTGACGTTGGAGGACGTCCTTGTGGCGGACGTGCCTTTTAATGTGGTATCTCCGTGGTCCGCGTCGGAACGGGGCTGGAAGACGCACCTTGCGCGCACCGGGTCTCGCATTTACAAGGGTGGAAAGAAGAATGTCCGCCTGGTTGGGGCGAAACGGGCCTGGTGGGCGATTAGCGGAAAGAAGCAGAAAGCTCCTAAACGCCCATCCAAGGGATCGGACATGGAGATCGACTCTCTTCCTGTTGACAAGGAACCCAGGAAAGACATTACTGCAGGACCAAGCATCCTGAAGAAGACTTCGAAAGAAGTGAAGAGTGATGATAAGCCTGGAGAGGACGAGAAGTCTATCCGCCATGTCTTGACGGGAACGCCGTTTGAGTTCATGTTGCGCGGTTTGAGGGCTGAAGTTAGGAGTAGGTCCCTGGAAATTCCTGAAGAACACGCCGTTAGGAAACCGCACGACGTGATCTGTACTAGAAAAACGGATGTCCTGAGTGGTGATAGGAGCCTGTGTTCCGAAAGTCTGGTTAGGAAACTGCATGATTCTGTTAGGAAATGCCATGTTTTTGTCAGACAGCAACATGATTTTTGGCAGCGGCATGTGTGCGCAGTTTGGAACGTGATGTTTTTGCTGGCATGTCTTGTGAAGGGGTTGTGTTTGAAAGGTTTTTCGCTTCTGATCTTCGGCAGTGAAGGTTTGAGGTGTGCCCTTAAAGGAAGTGAGTGCCCCAAAGCAACCGAGCCAAGCATGTTTTGCGTTAGGAAGCCCAAAAGACCTCAAAAAGGCTTGAAGTGCGCATGTTTGTCCGCAGCCATTTTGCTTGTTTGCGTGTCTTGGTTTTCCCTGAGGGAAGGTGCTGAGCATGTCGGAACCTCAAATGGAGGTGGAGCAAGATTCCCACAACTCTCCAGCGGAGAGTACCGGGCAGGAGGTTGTGTTTTTGAATGCACCCGTAGAGCCTGCACCAGCAGAGGCGGCGCCAGCCGAGACTGCGGACGCAGGGGCTTCAGTTGCCTCCTTCAATGTTTTCTCGAGGCCTCCGAATCAAGTTGCAGTACCTTCGCCTTCGGTGGCTGCATCAGAGACAGGAGAAACGGAAGAGGAGGAAGCATGGGGAAGATGGAGGGCTCAAACGGTGGCATCCACAAGCAAGCCTTCGCAGCCATCAGCCGAGCCGCCTCTGATAGTGAAGTGGAGAAGCATGCTGAGGGGGCCGCGCTACAGGTATTTTATGCAAGCGATACGACAGCAGCGAGAAGATCTTATTGCATGTGGATACCCTGTGCCGGCAATTCCAGAGAACGACCTGGAACCTGCAGTTCCACTTATGTCTATCGGAGATGGGCTCGTTTATTCTTCCCGCCAGGGGACCATCTTTGCGTCATTGACAGATGCTTTGATGACCGACGGCTACCTCCTCGAGGTTGGACAGAAGCTCCTTGGGCGGATCCAACGTCCAGACCCAGGTGTGGGACCGTGCCTGGGAACGGGGTGGTCCAAGAGGCTTCGCGATCACGATCCCGATCCTCTGGATGGAACGCCCTACATCAGCGCAGAGGTTGCGTGGGCGCTGTGGCTGCCCGAGTTTCCGGAAGCCCCGGATCATGGAGGGATCCTTCCGGTGAAGAGAAAGAGGGATTTTTCCCAGCTCACCGACGAGTTGTTGGACGAGCATACTACAAGGTTCGAAATCGCGGGTCAAGGCCGCACTCTTCATCAACGCGGCGTGCGTGCAAGGGACGCGCGTGCCGCTATCGAAGGGTATACTCCCGATCCAAGTCACCTACGCCACCAGAGTGGCGGGGACGTGGCTGCGCTGGGTTACATCAAGCGTATCCTCAAGGTCCTGACCGTTTACGAGGCCATGCCGGAAGCGGAACGCAACCTTTTGGCTGGAATGTATCCAGACGACGTCGAGCTCCAGCTCGAGTGGGTGCCAGGCTCAGCCATCAGGCATGGGTGGCGTGCGTTAATGGGGGCAATGGATCAGCGCCGGCGCTATATCGAGTTCGAAGCAGGGGTCCGAAAACGGGAGGACTTGCAGTCCGCTCGACCCAAGGTCAAGGCCAGAAGGACGGCTGCAGCTGCTTCCACAGATACTGGAGGTGGAATTGGAGCGATGGACGAAGGCTCGGAGACTGGAGCGATGAACGAAGGCTCGGAGACTGGAGCGATGAACGAAGGCTCGGAGACAGAGTCTGCAGAGTCATCCTCGGCAAGTTCGTCGGACGAATCGATTCCAATGGGGGAATACATGATGCAGAGCCGGACCAGAGTTTTGGCGCTCATCGAAGCGGAGAAAGCCTTGAAGGATGTGGGCTCCTCTGCGCCGCCCCCACCGTCTCCTATCATTATGGAGCCATCGCCGGTCGCGACGGACGGGTACAAGTTCGATCCAGCATCTCTAGGAGCCCCTCTGGGGGACACTGCAGCTCCATCAACACCGGTACCTCCTTCGCCTTCCGCAGTTTCATTGGCCCCTTTGGAGTCCTTCAAGTTCTTGGATGTCCCACCTGTTGCTTCTTCTGGTCCCTCGGACCACATTGTGGAGCCGATGGTGGTGGAAGAGGAGCGGGCCCCAGAAACTCCAGAACCCACGGCACCGGTTGGAGCTCCAATTTCCACAACGGAGAGTGTGCCGGAGACCCCTCCTCCAGGGGAAATTCCAGGTCCCGGCTATGTCCCGAAGGCAGCTCCTGGGGAAATTCCAGGTGCTCTGTCGAAAGCCAAGGGAGCACCAGCGGGGGCTACACCGAAGGCCTGGTTTGTGGTTCCAACTTCCTCGCCTTTGACGGTTCCAGAAGTGCCAGTGGTTGCAGAGTCTTTGCCTGCAGCTCCAGAGCCAGCAACCGTGACAGCGGAGGAAAGGCCTACATCCGAGACCGCTACATCATCCGCAGCGGATGCCCTTCCGCCTCCGGGCGGCTTGGGTCAAACAGCCGAAGAGAGGAAGTTTGTGCTTCCTTCCCCTGGACAGAAGAAGTGAAGGCCTTAAAGGCTGTGCGGAATTCTTCCTTTTGTGGAATTGTTTCTGAACGCGCCGATCGCATGTCTTGCGCGTTGGAAAAACACAGTGTCTTTCAGGCTTGTTTGGATTTGGAAAGAAGCATGAGTGAAGCAGTTGAACAGACATGTTGCTGTGTGAGACTTGCTTGGTTAGGAGTGTGCGAGCTTGAAGGTCCCTTGAAGAGAAGCCCAAAAGAACTTCGATCTTCTATGCAGTACCCTCAAAGATCCGAAATACCCTCAAGTGTGAACCTCAGAAACACCACGAACCCAAACCTCCTGAACATGAGTCATGACAGACCCCTGCCGGCCAGGAGTGCTTTGTTTTGCATGCCAGGAGAAGCATTGGATGTTTTTGCTTGCTTGGCGATCTATGTGATAGCAAGTCTCTTGGGGGGTTCGTTCTGGTTAGGATTTCGATTCTTGAAGATGTGTTTGAAAAGGTTTCGAGGAGTTGGTGACTACCCTCAAGTTGTGTCCCGAAAGTACCGTTTACACCATCGTCGTAAAGGAGTCCGAGTGCGAATCAAGACTCGTTTCTGTTATGTTCGAGTTGATGTAGAACGTACTCTTGTCTTTAGCAGGCACGTTGTGAAACCAACTTGGAGCTCAGGTTTTAAAGCCTCTTTGAAGTTCTCATGTAAGGCCATGTGCTTGGGCCTTTGTCTCGACAGGAACTTGTGGAGCTTGTTGGTGTGCGTGGCATGGTGTTGTGCTTGGAGTTTGTGTGGGTGTTGTTTGTTGAGAAGAAAGGGCGATGATGAAAAAGGGAGCAGATCCACTTCTGAGCACAGCCACTTGAGAGTTGTGCGGGGACTGCCCCTCCCCGGTAAGGGGACGCAAGCTGAGCCCTTAGAACTCGATAGTGACATGCCACGTTCTTCAGAGAGAGAAGAGAGAGGAGAGAAAGAGAGTCCGCTTCCGAAACCTCAAGGTGTTGAACCACCGAAACCCCCGGAACCGCCTGGAGGTGCAGAAGTTTCAGATAGGATACCTCTGCGAAGTGTGGCTTTGCAAGTGCATAGATCCAGAGGTCATTTTCCTTATGATGTGAACTGTGAGGCCTGCACCTCGAGTAAAGGGAAGGTTCCTGCGAGACGCTTGCGAAGGCGTTTGCAACGCGAGGACCAGACGATTGGAATGGATTTCTACTACTTTGGTCGTCTTCGTGTGCTGCTTCTTGCACATTGTTCTTCGAACTATACCACGGCCATCCCGGCCATGAATTTGGATGATCCGGATCTGTTTTACAACATTGGACGAGTGATTCGCGAAATGGGTCTTGTGAATAAAATGGTCACAGTGAGATGTGATCAGGAGTCGGCTTTGATGTCTTTAGCCGAAAAATTGACTACCCGTACAGGTGATGTAGCTGTTTCTGGCGTCATTGTGGACGTCGTGCCCGGGTATCGCCCTCAGTCAAAAGGCGCTATTGAAAGACAAGTAGAAACTATGAAGCAGGGATTTTGGGCAGTGTGGTTAGACTTGGAGAGAGAAGTTGCGCGGAATTCCGTGCCGGAAGACTGGAACAAGAAGCTTCCGCTGGGAGGAATGCTCTGGCAAGCTTGTGTCCTTTACAGTGCCAGGTGCTACAACCTCTGGAGCTTTAGTCAC